GGTGCTCGGCCTCCCCTACCTCTGTCCCTTTCCTGAGGCTCAAGACGAGAGAGTTCATGGAGAGAAGTGATGGCTGGAGATTTCGGAATCTCTGTTTCAATGTACTTTTTGCTAATAATATATTGTAAAAGCAATGCCAGTAAGGGATGCGAGTATCGAGTGACTGTCTTTGACTTGTCGTGGTACAGGGAGGAGGGGAAGGGGGGGGGCTGGCGCACGTGCTGTCTTTTCCTTGATATTCGCGTAGAATTTCCGTCGGCTTCTAGGAATAATCTCTAGGGCCCTGTAGAAGGAACGGGAGGTGCGGAGGTCGCGGATGCTGTAGGGCGGGAGGGGGGGACTGCTTAATAGGCCGAGAGTGCTTTTATTTATGCGCATTTCGCCGAGCGAGAGATACGCGAGCGTCATCCGCTAATGGCCGTGTATATCGTTTCTGACGTTTAGAGCGTTTCGCCCTATAATTTCCTTGATTAAGCGGATACGTGGCTGGGTGCCAAGAGGGCGTGTGCGTCCACCACCACCCGGTGCCCTGTACCAGGCGCCCCAGTGTCCTCCGGGACGTAAATTATTTCGGAAATTAAGCGCGTAATTTTGTTTGAACGGTCTTCCCTCCTTCGCTGACGGTTTTGCAGCAGCAACTTTTCTATTTCATCTTCGGATCCATCGCGGGAACTGAGCGTCGCGACGCTGCTCTCGTTCCTAGCGCGCCTTTTTCCGTCCACTCCTCGAGTCAGGAGCGCCTCACGCACGACGCCCTTGGACGGTGGCTTCTCCTCTTGATTGATGCGTCAATTGCGCCACTTTGACACGCACCTGCGTCTTGCTTCCCACGAGCTCGCAGCCGACGATCCAACGCATCCGATATAATCAGCCTGTCCTTCCTGTGCCGAGATTCTTTAAGGAAATCGCAAAGACTGAAACAAGACGGTTCACTTCCGGTGGATCATCGACACCACCAAATTGCATTGAAACTTCTCACGTCTAAGATTTCCCTATCTACTACCCTCTTTGAGCTGAGGACGTATTATGTCCCTCTTTGCGTTTTACTTCTGTAACTTGCTGGTACGTTGGCATTCCTTTTTTTCTTTTTTCTTTTTTTTCCTTTTTTTTTCTATTCTTTCTTCGAAACCCAAGAAGTCGCGCGCACTTCTCCTCCCTGGGAATGTTTCAATAATCCAAGGTATGGATTTTGAGTTAGGCGATGTTTTTACGAAGAAACCCTCCGGCGAAGCCTCTCGGGCTCCTCGTCCACCTTCACTTATAGTGATGGATGCCTCCCGTCTCGTCCTCCTCCTGTCCTGTCTTGTCTCATCTTCCTTCTTGGCTTTCTTTTCCCCCGCATCTTTCGCGCAATTTCATTCCCTCTCCACGTCCCTTCTCCCCGTCCCCGCTACTCGCATCCTCCATCAGCGATGGGAAAATATGGCGAACAATTCTTCTTCCCTGAAAGAAAGTCGAAGCCGATCGCTCCCGGGTAAACCGAATTAGGCTATAAACACCTCGATCCGTTTACGCAGACAAGGGCTGCTGCGTTCCGGCCTGCCTATTGACGCATCGCTACTAAAATTGCTGTTCAGCCTCTCGTCAGCCACGCAGCAGCAACCAGTTACGAAAGTCCCTTGCGCCGGAGATGTTTCACGTAAACTTCTGATTTCCTTGCGGTTGACATTACGCGACTGTCGGAATGGCGAGGCTGGTAAAGCGCGGGGGAACGTGACTGTTTACTGTGTGACTCACAGTCGGCGGGAGGTACGATCCGGCAGTTGTCAGTTTAATGAAACGCCGCGCTGGCCTCCGTTCGTTAAAGTTCCGGCTCATAAAGTTTCGTCGGGGACTAAAAACTAGAAATAATGAAACGAAGCGTAAAAGTCACGACTTGGACGGAGTAAAGCGAACGTAAAACCTAAAACTGGGAGAATCTGTGACGGACATAACTAATTGTAAGTGTGCGAGCGGCCGGCCCGCGAGGTCCCCGGACTTTGTAGTCTCCCTCCACCGGATGTTATTTATGATCGGCCGCGTCCGAATATCGAGAGCGAAGCAGAGGGCGGTAGAGTCAAGGAGTCGCGTCGCGACGTCAAGGAGGTGCCGGAACATAAAAGAAACCGCCGCGACGACCCCTGATAAACAGAGACTTTTTATGACGCGTCTCTCTAGACTCTCGCGGCACCAGAGAGAGACAGAGAGTCACTGCTGGGAGAGAATGGGGAAGAGGGCGGCCGGTATTTCCAATTTCACAGAGCGTGGGTTAACGAGGCTCCGGGTGGAGTTAGGGCCGGCGCCCTCCCCCCGCCCCTCCCCTCCCCTCACGCCACTTCACACCGGGTCGCCCTCGGCCGAGCGCCCTGAGCGCGAACCCCTTTAAACGGGAGTATGCAGGGTGCACGGGTTCCGGCACATTACCTACGCTGATTACCGAGCCACCCCGTGGACTATGTCACCCAGTCAACCCCGAGACAGCCCAGCGCCCCGTAGAGCGTCGTAGAGCGTCGTAGAGCGTCGTAGAGCGTCGTAGAGCGTCGCACACGTGTTTTACGGGGGCAGAAACTTCAAGGCGGACGGACCTCTAATCGTTCTTTAGTATTTTCAGCTCGGCGCGTATGAGTTCTGATCTCCGTGTTTTCCTTGCAATTGTTCCCTCTGTTATCCGGCCCTCAATTAAGAAAGACTGTTTTCCTTGATGTCGCAGGGCCGCGCAGAAACTGAATCTGTCCTCGAGTCCACATCGACGACGCCGATCCGGCGACGAGAACATCTCGCAGGAGGAGCAGCCTGTCTTCCCGAATGGCTACGCTGCCCTTCTTCTGAAGTCACCACCACCCGCACCACCCGCTCTTCTCCGGAGGATTGGCGTCAAGGAGCTCACCGGCGTCGGCAAGGTAAGTCAACCCACTTGCGACGGAGAGGAAGTCTTCGTCCTATAAATATATAAAGCTCCTCGCGACTAGCACTACCGTTTACGTAAATCTTTGTCCCGCGATATCAGATATCAGATATCAGATATAGTATGCATATGTGGCAACATCAAATTGGCATCGTAGCGGCTCATTTGCTTATTTGCACCTGTCTGCCGTCGAACAGGAATTAAGGACAGTAGAAATCCGGCTGAAATAGACTTTGATAGTGCCACGCGACGCTCAGGGGTCTTCGTTAGTTGTGTCTTTTAACTTCACTTTCTGCAGCTACTATAGAGAACATTTTGATATGGAGGAGAAAGGATAGGCAGAAAGTGCGAGAGAAGAGGAAAGCACGTTACTCTTTAGTGGAATAGGAAAGTGCATTGTGCTGGATGCTGGAGACTGGGAGTGGAAGGTGCAGCAGCCACTAACCCCAGGCTATTGTTAAAAATTAATTTGTTAGAAATAAGGTCCTATTGTTTACTGGCAGGCGAAGCTAATTAAAATAGAGACTCTTCCATACTATAGGGAGACGCGCAGCGCGGCTTCCTTCTCATTCTGAAAGACTGGAAGACACTTTTCCTTTTTCTTTGCCTGCGGCCAGCGGCCCCCGTTTCGGCCGTTCATGCGCGACTCTTCAGCTTTATAATGTGCCTTCATCGTCCTTCCTTGGATTTCGCAGCCTTTATGCACTTCCTCCGGACTTTCTCTTTTATTCCATAAGAAGTGACGCGTGCATGCGCCATAACTGGCTTTACGTGTTTTAAATACGAACAGCTAAGAATATCGAAAGGTCATCGGGGCATCCTTCACTTGCTTTATTTACATCCGTGCTTGTACGCTGGTTTAGAGATGAAACGGATTCAAGTCCATCGGACGAAGGAGCGTGTGCATATCTAACTCAGCCGTAGTGAATATCATTCGAAATCCTCCCTCGCTATTCGACCTATTCAGCTCCTAATTTGACATACAGATAGTATAACCGAGGTAGCGTTGCCGTTTGTGCCTTTAGAGAGAAGAGAGAGAAGAGAGAGACGGATGGGCCATTCATCGATAGGTAGAATGTACAATTGTACATACATATCATAGATTATAGGCAGATGCGTTTGTGCCCCATACAGCCGTAGTATAGTCATGTAGTCCTTCATGGAGTTAATTGCATGCTCTAGGCTGGACCAATTGCACCGACTTCGGAAGTAGCATTAGAAGCAGACGAAGGCTTCGTTGAGCTAAACGAATCTTGTCGGTTTCTATTCTCGACGAGTGTCCCTTCTGCCACAAGGGCTGCCAGATTAGAGGAATCCGGACGAAGGGCTTCTGGGAGACGTCAGGCCATCCCGTAAC